TTGTCAAACTTCTTTTCCTTGGTAAGCCAAAGAGATGTTCCCCATCTCCACCTTTTTACCATAGGAATGAGAAAATATGGATCCAGTATCACCTTGGCATGAAAAGAAGAAACATAAAGTTGTCCATGTATGGATAGTAAAGGAAAAGAGGATTATAACAAATTTGGGAATAGCTTTTTAAACAAAACCATAGAATTTTTTTTTGTTATGATCCTTGTAAATTTATAGCTGAACACATATGCCCTAATTTTTTTTTTGTGGCCAATGACATTAGCCTTCCCCACCTTTATCCTTTAGGTAGTCTGTGATTTCATGAGCTTGCCACACCAGGAAGAGGAAACTGGACAAAATTTGCAATTGTTTCTGTCATATGAAACCAAAGACTAGAGAATATACTATTATGTAATTCACTGAAATGAAAAGCTCTAGAACAAATTACCAGGTTTATCAGTCAAAATAAATATATCCAACTTGATGCACAGAGTTTAGGATGTTTCCCTAAAGAAGACCCAGTTTAATATTGAAGCCTGATGAAGTCACTTTTAACACACCAGAAGCTATGGCAAGCTGACAGCTAAATGCAAGCAAAATTTGGGCAAGGTCAGCATATTCTGGGATATTCAAAAAATTCTTCACAGGACAAATTATTATATTTGATTTGCAAGAGGTCAGAATGCTTATAAATGATGTAACACTTTAGCAATCTGAATTGTGAATGGATTAAGTCACACAAACTTGTTCATTACTAAAGACTATCTGAATATCTCCGTGAAGGCACAATGATAAACCACAGTTAGTTAGAAAATAAGACCTTCAGGAAGATTAATTGAATTGGGGTTACTCTGCCTGAAGCATGAAAAGCTAATGAGAAATTTATTAGCTGCCTGTTTATATCTTCATTGATTTTATAAGTTAAAAATAATACATGCTTGTATAAAAAATTTAAGTGCTACAGAAATATATGTGCATAAAGGATTGCTGTCACCTCCTAGAGACAACCTTCAATGATGACTCACTGTAATCCACTGAAATGAAAAGCTTTAGGACATTCTTTCCTGCTTTTTGTGTACTTATCTGAATATCAATAGTGCTTTTAATTAATAAGGACTTTCAATTCTAGATCTCACATTGGTGGCAAAGGAAGGAAAGGGAGAAAGGTGAGGTGTTATGTTTACTATACGCTGGAGAAAACAGTAAAAAGGGATCTGATGAATATTGGTTTCTGTGAAAATGACATATTGGGCTACAGTGAGGAAGAAAAACCGTTGTCTCTAAGATTATGGAGAATGCATATTCCTCCTCTTTTTTCCTGCATTTCCAGACCTCAGTGTGGAGGGTAAGGACCAATTTCACATCAACATAGAGAAACCCTGTGGTGTGTCTTGCTTCCCAATGGCACATACTTGGCTAGACAACCCCACACACATTCCTGCCTTCATCGCCATTGTCTACTTCTTAGAAGCTGGTAACCCAGATACTTTTCCTTGGCCAGAGGTGGCCAAAAAGATATATTTTAAAATCTGAAGGAAGAAGGGTTAGATGCAAACATCCCCCCCCCTTTTTCCTGTCTTGAACACAACATGATATGAAACTCTTGTGGCCATCTTGAGAATATGAAATAACAGGTTTGACTGAGATCAATATATTTGAGATAGAAAGCTAAAAGACAAGAAGATCCTGTACACCTGATGGCATCCCTGAGCAGCATTAACTGTGCCAGAACCATGTAACTCTAGACGTCTCAGTGGTGGAAAAATAACTCTGACTTATTTATGCTTCTGTCACTTGGAATTTTTGCTACTGGTAGCTAACAGCATTCCTAGCTGACACAATGTCAAAGCCACTTCTATAATCTTCCTGGACAATACTGGTGGGTAGAATCCCAATGTCAATATCTTTAGGGATCAGAATTAGGCTCCCTCTTGTAGGTCCAAGAAATATATCAAGTAAAACCTGATTTTCTAGGCCAGAAGTCTATTAGAGAATCATCACAATTTTTTTCTTGAATATTATCTAATCTAAGGGATGTAGATAAGAGAAATTTATCTTAGAAACATCCAAGAATACATCTAATAGATGTGTGGAACACTATTTCCATAGGGAACCAGAAGGGAACCTACTCTGTAGTCAGAAAAGTCTAGGTTGAATCTTGTATCCGGAAATCACAACAAAAATGCCATCAAATGAATATGAAAAGCAGGCACTCTGGCCCTTGTTCATATCAGGCATCATCATAGCCCAGCAGGTAAAAAGGCAGGCTATGGTTGAATACCTGTTTGTTCCTACTATATCAGTTTCCAGTTAGAAGTCTTAGGAATAACTTACTTCTTTGTGCTCAAATGAAATGACATGGATTTCTTACAAAAATGCTTAACCCTTTTTAAGTAGTGGGTCTACATAGGAAAGTGTTGTTACTGAACATGGTGTCTCTCACATAGAATATTCAGAAAGAACTCTATCACTTAATGACATGTTGGCCTCAGGAACAGAGATGCATTGGCTAAGTTGCATGGTGCCATGGGGCACTTGGGGTGGCCTGTGGCTGGGGTGCCTGATGGGAGTTTTTGGCGGGTGTTGGGCACCTTCAGTTCCCATCAATCCCACTGAACAGGTAATTCAGAAGGCCCATTTAAAACGTATTTCCTTTTATAGTATTTGCTGGTATCTCTAGGTGGGCTGAAGCTAGGAGATCGAATTCCTTTCCGAGATGTAGTTAGGCATGGTCTCTACAATGTTGTTTCCTGACAGTTTTCTACCACCAAATTGAGAGATGTTGGGGATTTCTTTTTCACCAACTCCATTTTGGCTCTTGCCCTCGATAAACTCAGATTGACTTTCTCTTCTACCAGTTTCCTGTGGCAAGCTTGTCATCTTTGTCTCTCCCCTTTTTCCCTTTGGTTACCCCTCCCTCCAGACCTATACAAGAGTTGTTTCAGGGATATTGAATTTTTTTTTTTTCATTTTGTGTTCCAATAACCAGAATTCCTGAGCCTTCTTGAGTCTCTGACTGTCAATATTGTGTCTTCGTGCATTCCCTCATCACCCACCTCCCTAATTAGCTTTTCTCTCATTGCTTTGTTTCCAAACTGTGGAGGAGTTTACACCATCTTGCCAACTCTTCCCTACTGTGCTTTCCAATTAGGTTTATAATCTTGTATCTTTAAACAGGTGTTTTTTTTTTTTAAATGCCTTTCTCCCTAAGGAGGATTGCCATTTTTGAACCTTTGATGTGATCTTTCTGTTGAAATTTATTTTTTTTTGAGAAGTAAAAATCAAGATCAAACTATAGGATTTAGACTATTACTGCTTATAAAGTCATAAGTAAACATTGACAAAAAGTTGTTTGTGTGACTCTATAAAAGCAACCAGTCCTTTGTGAGTTGTCCTTCACAAGATTACTTCTCCTTCTTTTCCTCAGTGGTCTAAATTCTAAAGAAAAGTTGCACTTCAAATGGTAACAATGTTAACTGTTAAATAAGCTTCTTTTGGATTTATGAACCCAGATCATCTCCTGACCTTCAGATTACATCATAATATGTAATGCCTCTCCTTATTCTTTAGTTTTGTGCATCAATTAACTCAGAACATGTAAATTGCTATGAAGATTAACTTGTAGAAGAATAATATATCTTGCAAAAAGTAATATATCTGCAGGAAGTGGCTTCAGAGGTTGAGGTCCATTGCAGATTCTGGCCAAAAAAGGAGAAGGAAAAATAAAAAGGAGACACACACCCTAGGTGATGAAGACCATACTCAGCTTGTAGTCTTCCTACTCATTTTCCCCTCCACTTCCTTTCACTCTGTATAAAACCCCTGTTATGTGCCTGGATTCTCTAAGATGAAGCTTTGAGGATGAAAGCTAATAGCTCCTTCCATTTTCCAGAGTTCTGTTTCTTGAATGAAACTGATCTCCTGTCCACCAACTGTCATCTCCTGAGCATTGGCTTTCAAGGGGTAAGCAGCCAGACCTGGGTCTGGTAAGAACTCTGCCCCATTAAGAAAGTGTAGTATAATTTATATGTATCTTAGCATCCATCTCCTCTCCCCATCCCTTTTTCTTTTTCTTTTACATATTTGTTTTGGTCTCATGTCCATCCATGTCACACTAAAGCCCCAGAGGTTTAAAATTGACTTACAAAGGGAAGTAGAACTCTCTTAGCTGTGGTGACTCACAGAGTGACGAACCTGGGATGCAAAACACTACTTAATAAAATAATTTGCTTCATGTGGAGGTTGATTTGAAACACTGTTTCCAGGCAATACTTTTTACAGTATACTTAGAACACTTTCAAATTATCAATATGTAATTTCTTTCATACTTTAATGATTTAGTCACTGATTTCTAAAATGAAACCCCAAGTCATTAACTCCAGCACATTCTAAGATCATGCCCCAAATTTTTAAATGATTTTTAGAATACATTTTTATTTGTAATTGACATATAGTTACTATACATATTTATGGAATACAATGTGAACTTTTAATACATGTATAATGTATGATGGTCAGATCATGGTAATTGATATAGCTGTCACCTCAGGAATTTATCATTTTATTTGTATCGGGGAACTCCAAAATCCTGTCTCTTAAGTATTTTGAAATATTCAAATCCTTGTTATCAGCTATAGTTATCCTATGGTACTATAGAACATTAGAAGTAATTCCTCCTACCCAACTGTATTGTTAACCATCTTCTTTCCTTTACCCCCTACCCCACACTTTCTCCAGGCTCTGATAAGCACCATTCTATTTTTTTCCTCTATGAGATACAATTTTTTGCTTCCATGTACAAATAAGAATAATTACCATTTATCTTTATGTGTCTGACTTGTTTAACCTAACATAGTGCTCCCTAATTCCATTTGTTGTTGCAAATGACAGAATTTTGCCTTTTTTATGGCGGAACAATATTCCACTTTGTATATATACCACTTTTTCTTTATGCATTTATTTGTGGATGGACATCTAGGTTGATTACCTATCTTGGCTATTGTGAATATTGTTGTAATAAACATGTAAATGCAGATGTCTCTTCAGTAGCTTAAAATTTTTATTATTATTTGGGATTGAATTAAAAAAACATTTTTTTCTATCTATTGAAATTATCATATTGCTTTTTTCAGTCTGTTAATGTGTTCATTTACAATAATAGAATTTCTAAGGCAAACCATCCTTGAATTCGTGGAATAAACCTAAGTGAATCACAAGTACTTTTTAATTTAAGTTTGCTAAAGTTAAAAAGACCAGGATCTTTAGTTCTCTTTCAGACACTATTATGTGACTTTGGAAACAACAGAATTTTGTAATGAGTTACGCATATTAAAAACACCCTGTTGGAAGTATAGAAGATAGACTAGCAAAGCATAGATGAAAGTAGATTGGCTAGGAAGCTATTGCAATAGTCTAAGTAAAATAAACTTTGAACTAAGAAAATAGTAATAGAGATGAAGAGAAAGAGGGTAAAGTACACATCTTTTTGTCACAGTTAATCTTCATAATTTGCCCCTTCTAGTAGAATTTAGACAGATGTAATTCAGGATGGGGTTTTACTACTTTCTAATTTGATTTTATGCCACACATAATTCAATATACCAAGCATGGCTTTACTCATGTAATACAGGTATAATAGCATCTATCTCATTTAAGCCATTGTGAAATTGCATGGGATATTAAAAGTAAAGTATCTATTATAATACCTGTAACCTAGAATGTGCTCAATAAATTAAAAGAGGTAATTATTTTCATATACTTTAAAACAATTCAGATCCTGGATATGTTAGCCAAGACCAAGTGAAAAAGAGAACTGAAACAGGATGTAGAAAACTTGGACTGTAATCCAGCTCTGCTACTTACTGAAAAAGTAGATAGATTTTAGGAAACTTGAGCTTCAGTTTTCTAATTTGTAAAATGAAGGGTTTATAATTTAAGCAGCGCATGTGTGACTAGTGAGTCATAGTAGTTGCCTGTGTAGTATGTCCACAGGTGGCAGGCATGGATTTTTAAAAACTTCGTTAAAAACACTCTTCTTCAGCCTCTATGACCCACCATCACTTTCCAGTTCTCCTCTCACAGGTTACCCATCTACAATTGAGTTGCCAGTGATGACTTTGAATTGCTTATTTATATTTCTTCTGTGTACATACCTAAACTTGTCAAACATACCTTCTCTTGTCTTTACTAGTCAAGTGGGATAATCCACTGTGAGTCTGATCTTTAGCTACCCTGTGAAAGCCACCTGTGAGAAGAAGCAACCCTGGTGACTCATGGCGGACATCTTGGAGGGTTGGTCTGGGATGAAAATAACCTCCTGCTTCATGCCCACGAACTGGCACCTCCTGGTCCTGTGTTCCTCAAGGCTGTGTATTTTCCCTTGACTTCGTGTGGTTTAAACAGTAACAACAACCCCAAATCAGTGATGTTGGTTCCTTGGTTCTTGTCAACTCTTCCTTTTCTTTTGGTATTTAGCCACCCTAAAAAAAAAATTGGTTGAATTTATAATTGAAAAGGGTGAGTTACATTGGAAAAAGTAATTTCTAAGCTCTCTTCAAACATGAATACTCTAATGCCATTCCAGAGAGGCTTCTTCTAGAATTAAAACGATCAGCTTAATGTTTAATTGTGGAATTGTTCTTTTTTTCTTCATAAAAGAAAATGTAATGCTTGTTCAAGGGTAGAAATAAAGTCATGGTTGTCATTATGAAAGATGTACCTGAGATTTGAAGAATTGAGATTAACGTGGTTAGAATTGTTCCCAGAGTAGGAATAATTTCTTAAAATGCACGTATTATAGGTAAATGGTTCTTAGAAAAATTAAGCATTCCCATTTTGTAAGGATAAGAGGACAGGGTTAAGACAAAAGCTTTATGGACCTTCTAAGTGCTGAGACACATACCATTATCATTCCAGTAAAGTCGGTGATGTTCTCATAGGGCATCGGGAACAAACAGTTTAAAAGTTAGGTCTGAGGGCTGGGTGTTGTTAATATGATAAATGCTTTATGGTTGAGTTACAAGTGTCAGCTACATCTCTTCTCATCTTAATTAAACACCTCACTAAACCTGCTGGTGGAGCCTGAGCCACTTCATCAACAGACTCATCCCCTGATGAATGATATTGCAAATCACACCCTGCTTATCCTCAAGGGTGTGAAAGAGGTCTCAGAGGGTATGCAAGCTGTGTGCTCTCCATTTAAGGAATGGCATGTGAAGATGAGCTATGGAAATTATCAGGTTCGGGGTAAGCTGGGTCAAAAGCATGCCACACAGACACAAAATGCTCTCTTAGACCAGAATGAAACAGGCCAGAGACTTTCAGAGCAGGAATCAGGGTGAGCTTTTGCTACAGCAATCAACGCAACATATTAATAAGTATTTTTGGCAGGAGAATATGAAAATTCCTAGACTTGTGAGGTGGTCAGTTGATGTCAATTTATGATACTGATGGTGATTTTAGTGAAATGGGCTGATAGGTTAGGAAATCCAGCAATTCACTTCTCTTGGACTACTACAAAGCCTTATATGGTTATAATTTCATCTTCACATTTACCAAGACTCAGAGCTGAGTAGCACTCTCATTCTCATTTTATTCAGTATCAACCATCCAAATATTAACCCTCTAGTAAAGGAAAAGAGTAAGGTTTTTAAGAATTACAAGGTTATGGAATTCTATCTTATGAGTATAGAATAAGTATTTGAATACTACTATGGTCTGTAAAGCACAGAACTTATAGCTAGTACTGGAGTGTTGCTGTATTCAATAAAACAGGTTTCATTAGAATTATTATACAATTTAACATTAATATGCAATAATACATTGAATGTTGTTTGATGTATGTGTTTCAATTATTTATTAATTTAAAGAGGTATTTCTGTCTTTCCAGTAGACCATAATTCATGGAGGATAGATAGTTATATTTTATTCATCATACAGTCTAGCAGTAAACAGATGCTCAAAAAATGTTATTTAGATAATTGAAAGAAAAATTACTAGACCTGTAAGAAATTAATATGAGTACTCACTATGTACATACTATATAAACCTAATCTAATTTGCTCCTAATTACCATTGTAAAACCCAACTACTTTATTATTTCTAACTTAAGGAAAGAAGAGATGGAGGCATAAGAGGGTAAGTGATATGTTTGATGTCATTCTTCATGAGAGAGAGAGCCTGGATATGAAGCCAGATATTCATAGCTTTATAGTTAGAGCTAATTATCAGTTAAAATGAATACTTAAAAAAAACCATTTTGAGAGTGTATTCTATTGATAAAAAGAAGGGACCTCATAATATTATTTTTTGTAGAAATATGAAGGCAACATGAAGTTTGGACTAATGACTCTAATGAAGTTGATTCTTTGAAAACTCCATGACCTTTGACAGTAACGATGTTTAGTTACTCAGCTGAAGTTATTATTCTACATAAACAGGTCTGAGCGGAAGAAGCTGATAACTCTAAGTATGTATCTGGGAAGATGGGGCTGAGTCAGAGCTCAGTGACCTTCTCAAAGTGGTCTGGGAAATCTTTCTGTCAGCTAGGCAGAAGGATGAGTCATCCAGGGGGGGGAAAAAACACCCACTGTATTTTATTAGTGGAAAATTAGTCATCCTGGTTTTAATTGAAAGATTAAAAAAGAAGAAATGAGAACATTTCAGATTTGAATTTCTACATGGTGCAGGCCTATAGGCTTCAGAGATTTCTCTTGGACAGACATAGAAGGCATGGCATTGCTGGAGGGGCACCTCAGAGTTCAGGAAGCTAAGGTACTCTGTCCACTAGCTTCTCCTTTGTCATTGATTGAGGGCTACTTCTAAGATCAGTACTGGCACTTTGTCCTTCCCTTGAGTGTGCTGATCTTTCTCTTACTCCCTCAGAGGTATTTTGAGTCAGCTGCCTTGGGTATAAAAAAATCCTGAGATGAGATACTAAGTACCAGCTACAGGTAGAGAGGCAAAAATAATAATGCCCAAGAATGGCTATAGCACTTAAAAACTTGAAAAATATTTTCAGAAGTAATACTTGACCTCAGTTTGATTCTCACAACCATTCAGTGAAACAAGAAGGACAGACACTATTATTCCTATTTCCGAGACAAAGAAATGAAGGCATATGTTGGTGATTTTGGTACTTCCAATATTGCACTGAAATGTTGTGAGGACTCATACCATTAACTTTTGCAGTTTGGGCAATGTTTTCCATCTTAATATTGGAGAGAAACATAAGTAAATAAGAAATTAAGGAATAGTTTTGAGGTAACTTGATTGTAAAGTAAATAAATAAATATAGGAAGAAAACGGAACAAAGAGAAATACAGGATATAAACAGAACTAAGTATTTCCATTCCTAATCTTTTCCTTTCTCTTCTTTAATAACTTTAATTTGTATAATAGTCAAATCATTTTCAAAGATGACTTACTAAGCTATTTAAACTGCTGACTAGAAAACCAAGCTCTCCATTTCCATTCTCACATCTAGTCCTAAAAATAGCACAACTGTGTTTTTTTTTTTTTCAGTCTTGGTAGAATAGACAAAGATGTTATTTTGAGTCATTTTCAAGCAGTATATGCTATATCTATTATGAACATTTTTGAAGTTTTCATAATTATTCATTTTGGAAATGCTATGAAATACTGATTACATAGATCCATTTTTAACATGACATTTTGAAGACATTAATGTGCATTTTCTGTTATTTTCCTAATAAGAAACTTCTAGCTAGTCCACTTGAAGTACACTTATTTCTGGGAGATTAAAATATTTAGGTATTAATCAGCTTTTGGCATGCAAAATAGGATTGTACAGAAAATTAATATCCTTAGAAGCCAGGCTATTGTCTTGGGGAAGGATTTTATAAATTCCTTTGGTTCCCTCTGTTGCAATATTAACAACAGAATTTTTTGTACTATGCTGTCAATATGATGTCATATTAACTCCCAAGATGCAGGCCTCACCTTTTGGCCAGCATGAGGCTGAGATGGAATCTGGAAGAAGGAGGCTATGATGTAGGGAACACTTCCTTGATTTCTAATGATTAAGAGATATAAGTGAAAAAAAAAAGTGAAAAAAAAAAACAAAAACAAAACAAAAAAAGAATAAAATAGCTATGGAATGGTAAAAAAAAAAAGAGAGATATAAGTGAAAAGTTGCCTCTTTCTGGCCCTTGAATATTATGAGAGGAATACTTTTAGAAGCACAGCAGAAACATTTACATGGGTGCTTATTTTGGCTTTGTCTAGAGAGGGGCTGGTCTATTAGTAAGTGATGATACATACCATAGGGATAGAGAAGGACTCTTTTTTTCCCCCATGTAATCTAACAGACTTCCCTATATTGGTATAGATTGAAACATCTTCAAATATATTTGATGGCTTTAGCATGATCACTGACACAGTCCCTGATGATTAGCTTTCTTAACTTGTTCTGTTTTCCTTGTGTCACAACAGTGTAATTTAGGAACCTTCTAGATTGATTTGGTGCACTGTTGGGGGGGGGGGTTGACTCTATAGGAAGAGCTGCTGAGTGGACAGCCTGAGGTCCAAGACAGACCTCAAAAGACTCCACAGTAGATGCTTAAGGGAACCCAAGTTAGTCATAAACCATCACCAGAGCATCAGTTGAGACAAGAGAATTAAACTCAAATTTAAAAATTCCAAAGCTTCTACACCAAAGATCTGGAGAATTGAATGAGATAGCTGGGGGCCTCACCCAAGGACACGGGATTGAAAAGAAAGCCTAAGAATCCCTATAGATCCCCAATACCACAAAACCTTATAATAAGTTCCCCATGACCCTCCATCATATACCCATTCACTACTTATGGAGTAAAGAAAAGGGAGGTGAGATTGTCTAAGAAAAAGAGCTTTACTGAGATTCTAAATAATCTAAAGTGATTATTTAAATTATCAGATTTTTCAAAGCTTTAAATAGTTGTATATTTAGTTCACTTTTTGCCTGCTTAGGAGGGGAGTGGGACTCAGGAATCAAAAGGAAGGTTACACCAGCTAAAGACAGAATGAAGACATTACCCTTTGCTTTGCACTTCCAAATGAAGTGACAACATTTTCTACTCTGATATGTTTATCTCCTTTAACACATTAGTTCTCTTAACTCTTAAAGGAGGGGACCTCAAGATGGACTTTACCAAATCCTCTTGGTTCTACCTTTGCAATATTTCTAAACCCCCTTTTCCCTGGTCCTTCTGCTAACTTCTCCTTCAACTAGATGCCTTTCAGCTTCACTTGGATTAACTTGTGTCTTCAATTCATGACTTCTCTTTACAGGCCATCTAGACGTTTAACATGTGAATTTATATCAAACAGAACCTCATATCTTGCTATTTCCTGCTCCAAAGTCTTGCCTAAACAACAAAGGCCACGTTCTTTATTCTGGGATTTGAAGTTTTCTTGGACAGGGTCTCAATTCACCAATAGGCTCTTTTAGAATCTCTGGAACAGCCCACATGCCCCCACTTTGTGACTTTGTACCCACTCTACTTCCTGAAGGGTCCTTCTCTTCTGTCTGTGCAAGTCCCATACTTGGAGAATTCAAGCTTCAGAACAAATACAGTCTCCTTCACAAGAATCTTTCCTGACACATTAAAAAATTATTTTGAATATGCCCTCTCAGTTCTGTTTTCATGGTCAGTATAGTCCTATCCCCCTTCTAAGACTGTACTCTTTACAGAGCCTTGATAGTACAAATGTTCAAAATAATTTGATTTTTTTCTTAATGATTAGAGGGAGTCATTATCTTTTCAACAGTAACATCTAATTAATAATGTTAAACAGCTTTGTATCATTTACTTTACATGGACACTGGATGTTCTTTAAGAGGTACAGGTTAGATAAAAATAATTTCTTATGCCATGTAGTGCATCTTTAAATGTTGTTGCTGATAAGCGTGAAAAGTCATTGTAAACTATTATAATTGGAGCCTGCCCAAGGCCTGTAAGTATCTGAAGAGGACTCATGAAGACTGAGGGATGGTTTTGATGGCGCAAACTGTTCCATTTATATTACATAAACACAGAGTTTTAAAAATACAAAATTCGTATCTTGTTTGTAGTTCTCTACTCGTGGAATTTTTGCAGACTATTTTCAAAGCACTTGAAAAGAAATAAATGAAATTTTATATTACATGAATGAGTTTTAATATTTTGATGCTATATATATATTTTTTTCTAGTAGGAGATTTTTCTTCCTCTGAATCATCATGGGCAATGTTTATTTTAAGGATGAACATATTTTCAGCTTAATAAGCATCCTGTAATTTCATAGTGGAGAAGCAATATTGATTTTGATTTTCCATTTCTAAAAATGTCATGAATTTTTGTGTCCATAGTCTGTATTTCCAAGGATGTCATACATTTTGGTTCCAAATATTGTTTCTTTTTTTTTCTTTTTCAATTCTTGTCTTCTGTAGAGTAGAAAATCTTGGATGGCAGATAAAATGAATTTTTTTGGCATCTCTATCAAAAATAGAGTAAAAATACTCAATAAACAACCTCTTAGATGCTTCAGATGTTTCATAGACTTATTTGGTATGTTTTCAGGAAATCTTTAGTATAGGGAACTTATTTAAGGTAGGTCTTTTCTTCCTATAATTTTCCATACTTCCTATTCCTCCTTCAAACAAGGTTAAAAAAAAATGAAACTTGAGCCTGGCACAGAGGTGCATGCCTGTAATCCTAGCAGCTTGGGAGGGTGGGGCAGGAAGATGGAGTTCAAAGCCAGCCTCAGAAACTTAGCAAGGCCTTAAGCAACTCAGTGAGACCTGTTTCTAAATTTAAAAATAAATAAATAAATAAATAATATATATCTTGTTTAAAGAATCTAATTTGAGAATTATAAAATGAACATGGAAAAAGGAAATCTCTGTATTTCAAATGGAATTAACTCTTGTCATCAGGGACACCACAGAGTGAGCCAGTTTTAATTAATTAGTGGCTCAGGATGAGTCAGCTCATGAATGACATTATATTTTAACAAACTAAACAACAGGAAAATGGCCAGTCCTGAAAAAAAAATGTATGTATATATGAGTGTGTGAGTATATGTTTTTGTGAATGTGTGTGTTTGTATGTGAGAGAATTATCTCTGTGTATGTGAGAGTGTTTGTATAATTGTGTGTTAGTGTCCCTGTGTGTATGAGACTGTGTGTGTCTCTGTGTGTATGTTTAAACACTGATTAGGAAACTGGGCTATCATGATGTTTGTTTAACCATCACCCAGCAGGTCTTTCCCTTGCTCTTACTGCTCTAATGCAAGGAGAGACAGGGAAGAGTTCTGCTTTCAGAGGCCTCCACTTTCCTTTCTTTTCCTCTTAGGCACCCACTGATTGACAGCCCCTCACATCTCGTTTCTCTCCATTTGGTTTATGTGCACAAGGTGACTGTTTTTTGGGCTACATGAGTGGGTATGTTTATCTGGTAAAGTTGATGAGCCTTGACCCCATAAAAACTGTATTGGAATGATGCAAAACACAATCGTTTTCAAATTCAGTAATTTTACAGCCAATTAGAGGACTCTTTAGAGAAATCATTATGCATCTTACCAAGCTAAAGAATTCACTGTATTCATGTGAATGCATGTTACCTTTTTTATTGTTGTGGTTGTTCTTTTGAGTTTCTATCTTATGAGAATGGCGCACCAGCCATGGACAAATTTGCAAAGCAAATATTATAGACTGATACTCTATAGTGTTTTTACTACATGATTAGTTCAGATATCTTTCCTTTTTCCCTAGTGTAGCATTTTCATAATTAGTTGCTTGCTTTCTGAAATTTAGATTCTAATTCATGCTTTAAATCTAGCCAGGAGGAAATTTAAGTTAAAATGATAAACATTGTATCCCATATACTAATTAAATTGTCTTAAAAAAAGATGGCTTGCATGTGTATCTGTTTAACATGTTTCATTGAAACTGTTGCAGTGGCATGTAATTTTAATGTAAAATAGCCCTCTTTGCAGGGAATTGAGCCTGCTGCTGGATCTTTAAATTTTCAGTGTCTGTTGTCATGGCAACCAGAATTGACTCTGGTACCCACTGTGTTCGACATAAATTAATTTAAAGACATAGCATTTGAAACAGTTTAGTCAATTTTAAGTATGTGTCTGGCTAGGCCTCAGATTCCAATGATGTTTTATACTTAGAATGTCATTAAATGTGTTCCTTTTATGCTAATTAGACTTATTTCTAGGATTTAGTGCCTTAAATGTGATTTAAGAAAAATGTTGGAAAACTGGCTCCTGAATTGTTTGTGAGATGTAAGCTTTTAATAATGTAAGGGGAATTTCCCTTTTTAAAGCACTGGAATGGTACTGTTTATTCTGCCAGAATACCTAAGTTTGATGTTGCCTAAATAAATCCTCATTTTTCATGTGTTAGTCAAAGACCCCTCAGGCCCTATACTATAATAATCTTCTTAAGAGAGGGAAACTAGCTATCTTCTGCCACTTTTTATGCCTCATCAGTCCCTATTATCTTAAGGAGATATGGATTTTTCTCATTAAAATATTTCTAACTAGTTTTAAAATAATTTTTTTCTAATATAAACTTCAGAGTTTTTGGTTTTCCAGATTGATAATGTTAAGAGCTATTATAGTGAAGTTCAAACTCATTCTGCTTTCATTTTTTGACCTGGGCCATTTGTTCAGTGAATATTTTATTTTTTTTAGTCTATTATTATTAAAGTAACTATGTGAAGATAGAATACACATTGTGATAGATGTCAAAGTTTCAGGAAGAGAGCAATAACAATTTTCACAATAATCTATTAATGGTAGGAATAGATTTATAATAGGAAAAGTTTTCCAATATTTTCTGGTAGTTCCAGTTTATCTGATAAAAGATATTATATCTCATTCTGAGAAATAACTTTGTTTCTTATAGTGCCACTGAACTTTATTGTGCTTTTTTTCAATCACAGGAAATATTATGGCTACCATATAGAAAATAAAATGCATGTTTAAAATTTTCTCCTTTTTAAGAAAAAAAAAGTGTGGCTGTTCTCTGAAAGGGGTTTCATTTCGTCTGACCCATCTAATGTCAACTTGAAGTCATTTGAAGCATAATCCTTCATTTTAGCATGTAAAACTATAGACCAGCTTGCAGGACTACAGGAACATTACCTTCACATTTCTTCTGAAGTTAGAAAGTACCCTATACATTAAATATTTAGAACTAGTTATAAACATAAAACTAAGCTGCTACATCAGCCTAAGGTTTTTGTGCACGAGTTGTTTTCGAACCCAGCTATACTGGTAGAAACTAGAGCAAAACATTAAGGAAAGATAGGAATCTGCTGCATCCCTGTGTGACTCATTGAAGCCCACCAGACAGTGTCATTAATAAAACAGCAAAGACAATTCATCTGAAATTCACTGCTCCTGAGGGGATTTGTTCTGTAATATATACATACATATAATCAAAATGGGTAAGTTGAAATTTTTCCTTGTTTGAGTTAAATCCCATGAACACCTGTCCCTAAATGAGTATGCCATTAATCATTATGCTAAGTCTTTTTTTGTTGATTATCAAAAGTAAACGTCGAAATTTATTACTACGTTCACGTTCACTTGACAACATGTTCTTAAAAGAAGAGTGAGGATTACTTCAATAATAAACACATACCTGGGAATTTAAAACAATCATAATTTAGTGTGATAATTTGACCTATAAATCAAGGCTTGATATAAATGCAATGTAATATAGTTTATAATGACCTGGAGGAGGTAACAGTTACGGATAGAGAAAAGAGCATACTAAGAAATTCATAGGCTGAGATACTATTTATTCCAAATTTTTGTCACTTCCATCCTAAGAAACTTAAATTTGACATGGTGACAGATTCCGAGAGTTGGGAAAAAGAGTCACTTTCATAAAGCAATATGAGACTCATGACCATAGCTATACCTTTTCATAAACAGAGAACCCCATAATAACAAACTCTATCTGAAATTCAAGGGAGGTAGCAGCCAGGGGCTTCAAGATTCACCTGATTATCAAAATTATCCTGAAATGGATTTATACCCTACAGCTCTATCCACACAGTATAATAAAATAAAATAAAATATTGAATAATAGTAATATTTTGAAAAGTCTTACTATGCCTTTTTTCCTCCTCTCGCCCTCTGTTTTTCTCTCTTTCTTATTTTTTTTTTTTTGTCCTGGTCAGTTTCAACATTCCATATATCTAGGAAGAGATCATAATTTTCTGGAAAAGAAATATGAGACAGATGCTAGTGGGACATGGTAGTGCATGCCTGTAATCACAGCTGCTCAGGAGGCTGAGTCAAGAGGATTGTGAGTTCAAAGCCAGCTTTAGTAATTTAGTGAGAAACTGAGCAACTCAGAGAGACCCTGTCTCAAAACAGAATATAAAAAAGGGCTAGGGATTCGACCCCTTGGTTAATTGCCCCTATGTTCAATTCCTGGTACCAAAAAATTAAATAAATAAAAATAATAATAATGGAGAGTGTGGGGGGTGAGAAGGAAGGAAAAAGAGAGAAAAGTCCCTACCTGGGTCTCTGAAAAGCTGTCACATCTCTTCTTGTGCCTGTATGATCTTGGAGCCAGATCACATCAGTCAGACCATTCTGTGCTCAGAAAGGAAGCTCCAGTGTGGTATTAATGTGAATTGAGTCTGCGAGTCTATTTCAGCAGCAGAAGCTACATAGATCCAATAGACCCAGAGGCTGGAAGAAGATATGCCAAACAGGTGAGAATTGCTAGCAGCAAGAGCTGAGGTGAGGACTTGTTAGCCTAGGCCTGCCCATGACAGATCTGAGTTCCACCAAACACTATCTACTCTTTAGTGCCAGAAGTATGACTACATTCAGGTGGAAAAGGATGATAATCACATAGATTGGAGAACTCCGTGCCCAAGAACCTGATCTTCCCCCTGCCATAGATAAAGCAACTCTTCCCAGCATACATCTAGGCATCACCTTCAGAAAAGATTGAACACAGTCACCTATATGTTTAGATTTTCAGATTGGATTAAGTTTAGAACTGAATTTATATATATATATATAATATAATTATATAAATATATATAACATAAATATATATGTAATTATGTATAATTTATGTAATGACTGAAATTCTCTAATCTCTTCACCCATTACACCCAAATTTTCTTTCAGATCCTTTTACGTGTTTATTGTGGTTATTTTGAAGTTGTTATGAACTCTAATAGTCAATTAATAGTAGTTTTCTACTAACTGTTCCTTTTCTCTTGTTTACAGATAATATTTTCCCTATTTGTTCATGTGTAATCATTTTTAGTTGCATACTGGGTATTGTATGGATACATTATAGAAACTCTGGATTCAATTTCCTTCCTCTGAAGAGCGTAAATTTCCCTCATCAGGTAGCTTAATTATTGGTGAATTACCTAGTCCTGACTTCAGCCTTTAATACTAAAATGTGATTAGCAAGCCACTGGGCAGAATCCTTAATTCCTAAATCTTAACTGTCCTATGGTGTATATTCACTGAAGTCTATAACAGTTGCCTTCTCCAAACTCCTTGGAGTCATATTCTACAAATCTAAAATTTATGAGTTAGCCAAGAATCTGAATAGGGTTATATATAGATTTGGGGTTTTTCTCTTTGGTAGTGTCCTCCTTTCCAGAATTTTACTCTCTCAGTACCCAGCCACTATGGCAGCCCCCAGTTCTCTCTTCTGATTTCTCAAGCTAATAATATTTTGTTTGAGTACTATTCACCCCAGGCTGAAGAATGGGGAGTACTACAGGGGAAAAAGCATCTATTTGTGCATTTCCAACAATTTGACTTTCTTCTTTCAGAGATTGGATCTCCTTTAGTTTAGATCAATTTTGTTAATTCTCAGTGCCTTGAAACACTAGTTTTTTCTCACCCAAGTTCCTAAGTATTATCAGCAGGGGAAGGAGGGCTAGACTGATAGAAGTTACTGAGTCATTGGAAGTTACTGGTTATTGGAAGCCAGAATTCATAAAGTGAGAAAGATCAGTATAGATATCAAGGAGGCATGATAGAAGATAAGGTTCTATATATAGAACCTTATCTTTATATATACATATACACATATATGTATGTGTATATATATATATATGTATATGTATATATACATATATATATATATATAAAGCTTAATCATGCATGGCTTTAGAGGCCTCTGTAAGGAGGTTGAAATTTAACCTAAGCATTATAAAGGCATTAGAAAATCTTAAGCAAAAAAATGATTCAATTTTACTGAAAAATCCAGTGATAATGTTACATGAAAATATGGTAAATTATAGTATTGGTAGTTTTACATAAAAATATATGGAAATGATGGTATGAGATGGTGTTTGTTAATCATAATATGTATGTCTGAGACAGCAATAGGTGATATAACAAAATTTCATAGTGGAGAATGATGGGATATACACAAGCAAGGATACTTACCAACTGACTTATTAGAAAAGATAAAAGGGATATTTATGGCTTTAGAAACTGAGATTGTTCTGGTCACTGAGGTTCAAGCTCCTCATTCCATTCATTTGTGAAATGCTTCCAAGCGATAAGTACTACTGTTCTAGGTAGTATGTATAGAGCTAGAGCTACAATAGAGAATAAATACAGTTTGTTAGAGAAACATTAGACAAGTCTATATAATTTTGACATTTCATCTTTGACATACTCCAAACAAAGTTAAAGAGTTACTTTCTCAATGAGATCTGGCAATCAAGCACTTCTTTAGCTTATTTTACTATTGATCAAATATTAACCCCAAATTATAGAAAAAATGCATAATTGAAAAAAATCCTTCAAACCATGAGTTCAAATTTTACTAAATTAATTACCATTTTTTTGTTATTAAAGATTATTTCTAAAAGCATGGATTACTTTATATTTTTCCTGGAAAAATTATGAGCTAGAATTGTAGTTTATCTGTTAATGTTTTAGTCTCAGTAGGAGACTGTAAAAAATGATTTAGATTAAGAAGAATTCCTATTGTCAATTCCAGAATGAAAACCCTGTGCCTCCTAAAAAAAATTCTCTGAGATTTTTTGTGGGTGTGTGTGTTGGTGGTGGTTGTGTGTATTTTCAGCTCAAAGCCAACAGTCAAGTAATAAAACTAAAAAGAATATTTACAGATCCATTGCATGCAAATCTGTTCTCTTGGTTTGTCAGGGAATCTTGCTTAACTTTCTTTTTACAGAGCTAGCTGTTGGCTCCATTCTGAATAAACAGGGAACATCCATGTGGGAGCAATGAGAAGGAACTGTAGCATCTGGCATGACTTTAAAAATAACTTCTTACTTATATAACTGAGATTTCACCAAAGATCAATGAGATTTTTCAAGTCTGAGACCTAAGGAAATAGTTCCCTTGGAAGCTGTTGATTCATGTTGCACTGTTATTTTGAGAGAAAAACATTCTTACCCAAGAAGCAGATGTTAACAGACCTTGGCTCTAAGAGTCATAAGTCTAGGTTATTGAGATTTGAGTTTGTGTTCTCAGCTTCATTTACAATCAGTAAGAGCCTCTTGCTTTTAATTACTTCTTTATTGATCTCACATCATACACATTTCTTCTAGTCCATACAAAGTGTCAACTGAAGTGGAGTACATAGGTTTGTATCTACAATCAAGCTAGCTTACTGAGTTACAACACAGAATGGTACCTACTAGTTTATTGTTTTTGGATAACAGTGTTATTCAAGGAGATGTACTCCTGTGAGATAAAAATCGCCTTACTGCTTTAGCTACTCAACCCTGTGCTTCTTTTGAAATATGATATTGTAGAACTGTCTAGTTTCTCAGCTCTGGGGAACTGTGGAACATGTTGAAATCAGGACTTTTTTGGCCAAAGTGGAAAAAGAATTTTTCATATGGGCCCCCTTTTAAACTTTCCTTGGAGGATGTTTTTCTTCTGTAAGAAATCTGTATGTGGTTCCTGAATATGTAACAAGTTAATGAATAAGTCTGATGTAGTACATTTTAGGGGGATAGGCAGGATTAAAAAGTGTGTACTCAGATTCAGTTCTTGACAATTTATAGAACAATGCTATGACTTATCCCCTTTTCTCATGCTCCCATTTCCAATTCTGTGTTCTCAATGGCGCACAAAATTTCTACTCCCAAGGAATAAACCTGAGACTCTAGGGACCCAAAAATACTGAAACTAATATATATTTTAAAAGAAGACATTTTAGAAGTCTACTTGCACATATCATCAAGAATATACAATGGAAAGAAAAAGAGAGAATACACATTTTAAAGGCTGTAGTGAAACCCAGGATATATTAATGAGTGTTATTCTGTCATTAGGTAATTAGCAGTTGATTTAGCTGTTATGGTTGGTTTTAATAATTTCTGTTTCTTTTGAGTTCCAGGCAAAAATTTGTGCATCCTAATTGAGCATCTTTGCCTTATTTCTTTGAATTATGCAAATTTTAATCATTCCTATGCCCCAAATAATTAAATTACTGTGTTATTAAAAACAGACTATCTGTGCTTAGACCACAGATTCTACCATCTTGTGTGACAAGCAACACTGTTGCTTTCCTAAATCAGATACTGCAATAAAGAGGATTTTTCCTTTTTTTTTTCATGGAAAAGAAAATAGAGTCTGAAAAGTTTTATAAAAGCATTATGTAATGTGGAAAAGAATAGGGAAAGCATTAAGGAAATAGATTGGATAATATATTGACCTGAAGTTAGCTCAGAAAACTTCTTTCACACCTCTTTCCTTCTTTCTCTCTGTCCCTGTCTCTGTCTCTCTGTCTCTCTGTCTCTCTCTGTCTCTCTGTCTCTCTGTCTCTCTGTCTCTCTCTCTCTCTCTCTCTCTCTCTCTCCAATAAACATCAAATAATAGCAACTTATTTTTAGTTATTTATTGTACCCCTAATGTGTACCCAGAATTCTGATGGAGGAACATAGACAAAATTCAAGTCAGGACTCATGATGCCAGTACCCAAATTACCATGTTCTCCAGGTGACAGGCTATGCAAAATATCTTTAGGTTTGGCATATTCCCTCCATGTTCTTAGACAGTCATAACTGAAATATGATAGGATGGATATATCTGTTAGTCATTGATAAAGCTGAATATGAGATTACTGTACTGAAAATGAACTCCTAGGAAATAATGTCAATAAATTGCGTGTGAGAACTGAAATTCTCCATGCTGACCCAATCCCAATCTCTGTATGGCCTTCTCTTTACTTGGAGCAGATGGTACTCTTGTTTTAATGGTTCCATGAGTATTTTGTGCCTGATCTCAAAGTAGTCCTCCAACCTTCCAAATGAATATTTTCTTTTCCCAATGTGTAGAAGGTCTCCTGGGTTTTTTTGAATAAATTTCTTCCTCTTTGTTCCTTTATGGAAAGAAAAATTGGAGCCGGAATGAATTCTTTCTTTGCTTCTTGTTGTTTCTGTATTTTCCCTCCTATTGAAAATATGCTTTATCAGCAAATATAATACAATTTTCAAAGTCAAACTGAACCCAGCATATTCACTTATGATAATTCCTTTCTGAACATTTCTTCCAGCCTTCAATTTGTAACAGGGCATTCTGGTTCAGTCAGTGCTGAGACTTATGAATGTTGTTTGTGTGTGATTTGACAAACTCTATCTCCTAGTCCATTATCCTAGACTTCAACATATTTTTTCTTTGTACTCTGAGCAGGAAAAGCCTTCTCAACCATCAAAGGAAATTTAGGGAAGTTACTGGGCTCCAGAGAGAAATATTCCTTTATGAGAAAAAAAATGATTCATCAGGATAGATAGGACTCAGCTGCAAGCCCTACTAGTGTTTGAACCATCATATCAAGAACCTTAGCAGCATCTACCTGCAGTGAGAAGGTGAAGGTTAAGGATAAAGGTATTAGGAAGAGCCATATTACTCCATCCTCTATTCCTGTGTTAAAAAGAGAAAAAAAGAGGAAACCCAGGAGTGGGTATCAGCAAGGGGAAATGCTTTAAGGTACTGCATCTCAAGCTTTAGCTGTCTCGACCTGGAGAGCTTGTTATAGTAGAATCCAGAGATTCTAATTCTGTAAATTCAGAATTCAGCCAGAGAATTTAAATTGTAATAAGCTCCCAGGTCAAGGTGATGCTGAGATCTGTAGACCACACTTTGTACAGTTTTGCTCTAAAGTAGTGACTTTCAAATTTTATTGAGTATTAGAATTAACTAGGGCTTGTTAAGCCATACATTTCTGGACATACCCCTAGGGATTCAGACTCAGAAAGTCTGGACTAAAACCCAATAGTCTACATTGCTAGCAAGTTTACAGTTCATGTGAACTGGGGTCCCTGGGCCACACTTTCAGAACCATTGCTCTAAAGCAAGGAGGTTCAGCGTGGCCCATTATCACTGTGTGGGGAGTCCGAGGAGCTTCTTGGAACATAGTCTACCTGCAGGTAGGCTGAGATGAGGAGGCACAGCAAGCCGTAGCAATGACATGAAGGTTGTAGCAATCCAGGGATTCCTGGAGATATCTGAAGATGTTATATTGTGTTCAAATCAAATTTTACTTGAATCTCAATCAACAGCATGACTTCACCTGCCCCCTAGTCTATAAAACTTATAACAGTGAAATTACAGTGTACCGGGCTTGACTCATTATGTGTAAGAAAGTCTCTCTTCTGAGGATTCTCAGAACAGCATAAAAAGATAAAAGACTAAGGGAGACATTCTTGCCACTAGCAAGGGTGACTAAGTGGGTGGTCTAGAGGACAAATTCTTACCATACATAGGCCTTCTGAGAAAAGAAGAAGAAGGAAGGCTTCTGCCAGTGATATTGCAATGAGAATAGTAATATTTGTCACATTCCAAAAGAACTTCATTTTCCATTTTTGAATTGTAATATTTGCCCTTATCTCTTTTTACCAAAATGTTAAGACTGAGTATTTTACAGGATCTCAGGAGAATTACTTACTCTTAAAAAAACTTCAAAGAACTCTCTTCTCTTAGAAGTAATCTAGTCACATGCAATTCAATTCCATCCAGAAATGAATGTCCTCAAGGGAACTCTGTACCCAAACCTTCCACTGGAATAAACGTCTTTCTGGGACAGGGACAGTAGAAAAAGGAGGCTGGGAATCAGCTTATCATGGAAATGCTTGATCAGAATCACACCATGAAAAACTCTCTATGTCCTCCTGATATTCAGAATGGCCTCTTGAGATTTTCTCCTTCCCCTCCCCATTCCCTTTTCCTCCTATGCTGAAAATCCTACCAATAGATAAGAATATGCTGGATTTCATAGGGGCATGGAGGCAGAGTAAAGTTGATTAAATACTGGATTTGAGCCTGGCACATTAAGATTGCATCCATAGACCTCGCCCACTTGATATTCAACAAGTCATTTTCTCTTTCAGTGGCACATGTGTGCAATCCCTGCAGCTTGGAAGACTGAGGCAAGAGGATCACAAGTTCAATGCCAGTCTCAGCAATGATGAGGCACTAAGCAACTCAGTGAGACCCTGTCTTTAAATAATATACAAAATTGGGATGGGGATGTGACTCAGCGGTTGAATGCCCCTCTGTTCAATCTCTGGCACCAAAAAAAAAAAAAAAAAAAGAGATTTTCTGTTTCCCTCAAACTATT